CGTGTTGCCGGTTCTTATTGCTTGTTTCTGCTCGTCATTCGTTCTTACCAAGCGCTTCAAAGTGTAGCTAACAGTTCAGCTCGCTGCTCAGGTGTTTGCTTCGTCTTCTTTACGATTCGTATGGATTCTTTCCGTCCCTTCGCTCTTTTCGCTTCCCGCATATTGTTATTGCAAGGGTATTTATAGAGAAGGCGTCGACAGGTGGTATGTACCACGTTCATACATTGCGAGTGTTACGATTACGCTAAGACTGTGGGCGTTAACATAGCCGGAGGGGAGGAGGACCACCCAGTAGAACGTCTGTATCCTTTAACAAAAACGCTCAGGCTTGCGACCTTAGTCGCTTAGGTATAGTCCTGCAAAAGACGTTGTCTCCAGTAAGCTTAAACGTTCATAAAAGGGAACGCTGGACAAGTACCTCCCCCTCAAGCTACGTTAGTACTAGGATGCGTCCGTATCTATCGTCAGCTTTTTGAGCGTTTTTGGAGACACGCCAGTATTTGAGCAAAAAAGAAGGTGTAGTTGTCGATCCAGTGTTTTGAGCGTTAAAGCCGACGAAAACTATGAACGCTACATAGCTGGGTTCATACTTTGAACCACGTTCAGACTTCGCGAACGGGTCGGCGCTGTGAGAGCGCGGCCCACTTGAATTCTGCCGTTGCGGCACCGCTTGGCGGTGGAGCGCCCCGGTCATTATGGCGCGAATTCAATCCCTCGAGCGGTCTGTCTGAAAGTGGTCACATAGGCGTTTTGAGCGTTTTGAGCGACTTGGAAAGTATAGGCATAGATCTAGCGTTTCGAGGGTTTCGCGGGTAGACTTGAGCTTTCGGCGGCCAGTCGCTGAAACCGCTGTCGTCGCGCTAAATATGAGAATCTGTCAAAAAGGTTGGATAGGATCAATTTATCCTAAATTCTCTGAGTCTTCAGTGCTTATTGGACCATTTGTTCTGGTAGATCAAAAACTGGGAGAGAGAATAATTAGAGAAGTATTTCATCATTTTGCGGTGCCTTAAAGCAGTGTGTTGACGATTATATCACGAAGAGTTGCGACACTATACTATCTATCTATTACTGTAGTACTGCTATCACTATCTGATTACAGCTGTTGTGTTACAGATGTTTCTGAGCGTTCCTCAGCGGTAACGACTTCAGAGCTTGTCTACGACATGGAGGATTTATGCGCCGTTGCACAAGCAGGAAGAAGTTGAGCTTCTTCAATCTATGTATTCGGATAGTGAATTGACTTTCGGACGCTCGCCATCAGACCACGAAGCTGTTCAACCTTCTAGTTTCACAATACGATTGGTGAGGTTCTTTACCGTACTGCTTTATAATCGATTCGTAATCTTTGTTGGTTGAGATAGTATTTACACAAGGCACCATTTAGGTTGTCGACGATGAACCAGTTGATATAGAGTTTCGCGTGCCGAAAGATTATCCTTTCCAGAACTCCCCAACAGTTTTCATTAGAAGGCAGGGGGCATTTCATGAGGATCGGTATGTGCATCAAAATGAAGCAACGTTTCAAATTTCGCTCCATTGTATCTTTTAGGTCTTCAGAATAAATAATGATCTTCGAGATTGGATTCATCAGCAGCAGCTAGGAATCCCTCTAGTTACTGAGATTATTTCATGGATAGTCGAGAACCTTGCGAAATATGAAGCGGGGCGTGCCAATCAATGTGGTATGTTTTTGGCGTTTGTTTGCTCACTGAGCTCGTGTGAACGTGATATGGTGATGAATTTGGGTGCTTCGAACCTCATGATCTTGGCCTGCTGCTTTGTGGGAAAAGTCCTCCTACAATTTGACTACGTTGATATCGTCTCTTAACGCTGTCTTGTCATAGTGCGCAACATTTCGTTGAAAGGTTCAATTTGATTCAGTGTTTAGAGGTGGTATTAGCTGCCGAAAGCATCGAAATGAGTAGATTGAATGGGAGAGTCGCTGGAGCTAAGAGCGGGGTACGCCATCGTTGTGATGATCACAACGTCGTATTCTAACGCGGGGAGGGGGAGGGGTCGTGGCTGGTCAGTTGGGAGAGGAACTGCCAAAGATCTCTACAACTACTATGTCCGACAATTGAAAACGACCTCCCTCCTCCCGATCAGCAGCAAGTCGTATTTTTCATGAAATGATCACTACGCGATGGCGTGCCCTGGCTGAGAGTGAGTCGCCCTTGTTGAGGGTGACTGTAATGTCATAGACGAAAGCACCCACCCAGGGCACATCATTGGTTGGGGATTTTAGTCGAGTCTGTACGACCCCCCCCCCCTTTTTTTGGAGGTTGGTACGACCCCACCCCCTCCGGCCCTCTGTTCCTCCTCATCGAATCGACCCGTCGAGGTCGAGCAGGGGGAGGGGGGAGGGTTGAATAGCACATGTGAAACAGGAAAATAGGAAAATCGCCGAAAGTCAACCACTCTTACAAAACGTAAATACGACCCCTCCCCCTCCCAACAGTGAGCAAGTACGACCCCTCGACCTTTACAACGTCCGTGAAGCGACAAAAATCGACTATCAAAAAAATTCTTTCCAGCCCAAATGCAAGCATCCCCCTATTGGGGATTCCCCAACAACTGTGTGCCCTGCGCCCATCCCAAGTGAGTGAGCCAGTGCGGTGAAAGCTATATAACGCGGAAAGTGCCCGGCGGTATAACATGGTAATGAAACGCACCTCAAACGTGGAAAACTAGACAAATGCGCGGAATACGATAACAGCGATTCACGGCTTCCCAAATCCTTCTTGTGACTTCACTTGACCTTGCTTTCTTGACCGACGCATGACCCAGCCTCTGTCCTACTTGTCAGTGTCGCTGTTTTTCAGATCAGGAGACGAATTCATGTGAGCCTGATTGCTCAGAGGAGTTTGCACGGTATTACATATTGTCTCATCACCTCCGTTCTTCTGTGAAGGTAATTGATGGACAAAATTTCTTATAGCAGTCTATTCCACTTTCTTTCCCGCACTTGGAAAAAATTCCAGAGGTCAAACATACTACAGCTAGCAAAAGAACTACATTTGTCCGGATTTTCTTCACCCGGAAAGCCCGCTGTTATCATAGTCGAAGGGAAAACATCATCATGTGAAGAGTTTTGGAGAGAAGTGAAATCGTGGTCATGGCAGCGAATTTCATTACGACATTCAGGTAGCATTTGATTGTTGTACAATTTTATGAACAATGAGAGGGTTCTGAGCTTCATTGTATTGTCTTCTTTGTGGTTTGCGGGGGGGGGGGGCTGCACGTTGTCTATGAATTAACGACCTGGAAGAGTTTCATTATATCAGTAACAAAAAATACACAATTTTTGTTGAATATCTTAACAAAAGATCTGTTTTCCTGAATAACTGATGAGTAGGGGCAAGTGGTCTCGAGGAACTAGAAGAGGTATTTTGAGCGTGATTAGCAGCGCCGCGACCACTACGCTACCTGCGACAGATCTATTGCTTGTGTGTGTGTGTGTGTGTGTGTGTGTGTGTGTGTGTGTGTGTGTGTGTGTGTGTGTGTGTGTGTGTGTGTGTGTGTGTGTGTGTGTGTGTGTGTGTGTGTGTGTGTGTGTGTGTGTGTGTGTGTGTGTGTGTGTGTGTGTGTGTGTGTGTGTGTGTGTGTGTGTGTGTGTGTGTGTGTGTGTGTGTGTGTGTGTGTGTGTGTGTGTGTGTGTGTGTGTGTGTGTGTGTGTGTGTGTGTGTGTGTGTGTGTGTGTGTGTGTGTGTGTGTGTGTGTGTGTGTGTGTGTGTGTGTGTGTGTGTGTGTGTGTGTGTGTGTGTGTGTGTGTGTGTGTGTGTGTGTGTGTGTGTGTGTGTGTGTGTGTGTGTGTGTGTGTGTGTGTGTGTGTGTGTGTGTGTGTGTGTGTGTGTGTGTGTGTGTGTGTGTGTGTGTGTGTGTGTGTGTGTGTGTGTGTGTGTGTGTGTGTGTGTGTGTGTGTGTGTGTGTGTGTGTGTGTGTGTGTGTGTGTGTGTGTGTGTGTGTGTGTGTGTGTGTGTGTGTGTGTGTGTGTGTGTGTGTGTGTGTGTGTGTGTGTGTGTGTGTGTGTGTGTGTGTGTGTGTGTGTGTGTGTGTGTGTGTGTGTGTGTGTGTGTGTGTGTGTGTGTGTGTGTGTGTGTGTGTGTGTGTGTGTGTGTGTGTGTGTGTGTGTGTGTGTGTGTGTGTGTGTGTGTGTGTGTGTGTGTGTGTGTGTGTGTGTGTGTGTGTGTGTGTGTAATGTAATAGCATTTCAATAAACGGGCTTTCCGCTGACACTAGTATTTATAATTTAGGGAAGTGAGGGGAGGGGAGGGGGAAGGGCGGGTTTGATCGCGTGATGTAGCTTGAGTGTGGTGAGCTGATTGATTCTCATTGCCTCTGGCGCGCGTTCTCCCATATTTCAGTGCGCAAAAAATAAGGCCACACCATGTCGCTTCATTCTTCAAGTTATCATTGAAGCAGAGCTTTGTTATTCTGCTATTTGTTATGTACTTCCTGATAGTTGTCCAATACGATTTCCTTTTTTATTGTGCACTCCCTACGCGCGATCATGCTGCAACTTACAAATATTTGTTTTATCCTGCATTGCTCTCTCGGCCACCATAGAGTAGGAGAGGTTGTAGCGGCATACGTCTCTATTTTAAAGACAGCCCCCGCGCTCGAGTAGTACATGGTCGTCCTTTCTTGTGCGGATAGTTCAGCCCCCAAGCTAGAGACTATCCCACTCTCGCGACTCCACAATGAGCGAGGAGCGAGCTACAGCCGCCGGAAAGTTCTAGTTCTAACGCCCGCCCAGTTGGACCGCCCACTTGCTAGATGCCCTCTGACGGAGAGCCGCTCAGTTGTTCTTTGTTGGGACGGCGGGCATTAATCGGAACTGCATGTACTTTTTGCTGACCGCGCTCGTGCCCATAAATAATTCTGCTCCTTCATCACATTTTATTCATTGGGAGCACATACAGTCAACTGCAACCCATCTCGCAAGGTAAAACGCGTAAAAATCACGAGTGATGCAATTTCGTGGTGCAAAAGCTCGACATGCACTAAAAGCTGCACACTGCACGTAACCCCAAATTCGGACGCCAAGTTTTTGAATTTTCTTTTTTTAAGTGTTTTTCGTTCGTATCTTTGTTTTCGTTTTCGTTTTCTTTTCTTTGCAATGGATGCTGTCCACTACTAGGAAGTGCTATAAAGCGATTTGTGAGCAAGGGGTTGCCCGGGGTGTATGTTGTTAGGCGCGATTCTTTTGCCGCCTACGCGTCAGAACATGTCAGGCAAACCGACTTCTAGGGGAAACAACTCTCCATAACCTCCAAACTAGTGTATATCCCCGAGTGATCATTAGAAGAAAAACTGTTTGAATAATGAGCACTATAACCAAAAACAGGAGGGTTTTGTTAGGCTACAAATTACGAAAACCTTATAGTTCAGTGATTCGAACAAGTTATCCGGTAGGCATCTACCTCTCAGAACGTGTAAACGGCAATGAAATCGCGCCAAACGGCCGCCTCCCGGTTGCCCGCGGACCGCAGGGTGGTGTAACTGTAAGGAAGCAATTTTGTTTGTGGTGTTCTTGAGGGCTCTTGTTGCTTTTTTCCTTCATTGAGGAATTACTTATCAGCTACTGTTTCATAACTGATCAGCAATTATCCTTGACACTTTATCGCGGGAGCTGTCTTTAAAAAAGTGTTTCGAACCTAACGTATTCTACCGGTACACTAGGCCGACGTGTGGTATATTTTAAAGTAAAATGTTTTTCCAGAGGTGCTGAATTCACCAGAGGATCGGAGGTTTACCGAGTTTTCTGAAATTCCTCCCAATCCTTCAGGCACTCCAATGGGTATTGTTAAACGGTTATTAGTCGATGCAAAACTTGACGATAAATTTTCATTGCTGTACAGTTTATAGGCCTCGTGGGTTGATTTTTTCGTTAAAGCAGTTGTGCCTTTGCGTTAGTTGTTGTTTTATCTTATGTTGTTGAATAAATATTTTACAAGTTGGGGAAATATTATCTGATCTCATTGCTTTTTGTATTGTCTTACACGCAATTTGAAGGTATTTTCATAATATAGACATGGTCTCACTTCCTGAAGGTGTTCCTGCCACAGCAGCAGTCCTTGTTTTGACTGAAAATGGTACGAACGGTTCTTTAGATATGAATTTTTCGTTTCATTTTTCCACTACAGATATGAATGGGAATTTTCGGTGTTTAGATTCACTCCCTTCAAACGTTGGAACATCCCAGTCTCACTCCGGCTCTATTGATACAGTTGTCTACGCTGACATTGAAAGCAAGTTTTTGTTTGCCCTTGACAGGTGCATCTACGGATTGATTAACTGTTAATGCGCTGTTTATTGTTTTCAGAGGTGAAGAAAGTCGATTTTTATGATTTTGTTTCCATATCTGCTCAGTCCGAGGCAGTCCTTAAAACTCTTTGTGCCATTGCTTATAAAGCCGTGAAAGTCGGCGGGATCGTAGCTGTCTCTGCATCGGGTAGTTCTTTGGAACCAATTCTTATTGTTGGACTTCTTTAATCGCAATACTTCCAGGTTTACCTCCCAACTTGATTGCTAAAAAAGTTCGTGCATCTGGTTTCGTCACTGAAGAGGGCGTGTCTGCTGTAGATGGTGAGAAAAATACTGAAATCTTCATTCTACTTTAGTTCATTATGTGTCGAAAATGAACATAATTAACGATAAGAGAGCCACAAAAATGCTTCAGGTGCAGTGCTCACCGGAACAAAACCCTCGTTCGACGGTGAAAGTGTGCCACTTAATATTCCTACCGTATGTTAGATCATTCTTGACATTTGATTCAGAGAAATCTGACTTTCTGTACACAAATATTTGAGGCGAAAACTCTTCCTGCTGATGACAATGACATCGTAGATGAGAATGATCTACTTGAACCAGAAGACTTTGTCAAACCGGCAGGAGATGAACTGAAAGGTACGATACCATTGTGTTGGAGAGTTTGTTGCTTTATTATATTTGGTTCAGACCCATGTGGTACTTACCAGGGAGGAATGATCGGTCGAGGTGGCCGTTTGCAACGAGATGTATGCTGATTGATGTGTTCTGTGGTTGTGAATGTCAAAATAATTTCCTTGCGCAAAGCTGCTTCCCAGTGTGGCACCGTAGCTCAGCGGTTGTGCTGATCCCATTTGTCTCACACACGAGCAGCTTCACACCTGCAATCGGTTTTGAGTTTCCCCTTAAGAGATCTTCATAACTCCTGGGGCACTGTCGCGATAGATATGGAGAGAAGGGGATTCGCAATCATCGTCCGAAGTTACATCAGGCAGTATACATCTATCTCAAACGGCCACTTCCACAATAAAGGTAACAATCCATTTTGTTCGCAAAATTCTGTGTCATTCTCTCATAGACAGCAGCGGCGAATTATTTAAGTTTCCCCTACAGTCAACAGTGGCCTTCTACCAATGTGCGAGTAAGTCATGCATGCGGTTCGGTCAGAATATGATGGCCAGGACTTGGGAGATACATCGATCTCCTTTTCAAAATGGAAATCAAATTTTCGTTGTAAAAATGAAGTGCAGGTTCGAAGGATAGGTATTCGTTGGGGAGAGCGAAGCTCGGAGAGTATTATGGATGGTGGCAGATAGCCCAGTCGCTGGTCGATACTTCATTATTTGTCGTCCTTGCAGTGTGTACTCTAGTGATGTCCTGAAGTACATTTTGATTCGCCCGCTGTCTACGCTGTCTTCGAGATGGGTAGTCATGTTTCTTAGTTGAGGAACAAATGGTGGCGTTCCTTATTGTACGAAACAGTAGCAAAAATTTCCTTATTGTACTGCAACCCAGTAGATCGCAGTCTCCTTCGCATACCTTCGCCAAATGCACGACTTCTTCTTTTGGGATAACGTCAAGTTTCACTACTGCTCTGACATGCTGTTGTGTTTTGTGAAATCGCCTGATATGGCGGTGGGCGTTAGAAAAGAGAGCTACTTCTCATACTCGCTGATTACAATAGAACCAGTCACATGGGTATTTGAGGTTAGAGGTGAATGTGCCCTGATGGGTCTGTGATTCATTTCGGGCAGGATCGAAGCGTGGGCAACACGTCGACCGAGTCTTTAGATTTTACAAGTTGATTGCATCTCACAGCTGCAGTCGTTCGGTGGGCTGCTATACTGGTTGACATCTGACTTTGTCGAATGTCCGGCCCAGCACCGGATCTCCCACCTTGGTTAGAATGCTCTCCTTTTTTGCACTCGGACAAAGATGAATAATGGTTCGACCTGAAACTTCTAAACGTTCTTCAGATGGGTCAGGAATTCATCAGGCCGGGAGTAGATAGAGTAGCGTGAACGGCGCGAATGTCTTTTAGACATTTCACCGTTCGCGGAGAAGCACTAGCTCTATTAAAGTATATTAAAACAACTGTTTGAGACAGTTAGAGCTACCTCTCCTGTTTCAAATGGTCACCTGAATGTTGCTATTAGCCTTGGTTAGTGGCTGAAAACTTTATTATAAAGGCCTAGGTGCAAATGTACCGTTACTTCTTTTCCAAACTAATGATAGCCCATTAGTTGCGGTATCAATTTGTCTTAAGTTCAGCTGAATAACTCGGACTTCCGATTGCACACACGGTGACTGAAATCAGTCAAGCGGCTTGCGCAACTAGGTATAGAGGTCACATATTCTCATGCAAATGTTCCTACGGTTTTCAGTTGAATATACACCTACAACGTCGTGAAGACTGTCAACTCCAACCACTTTCTTTTTATCTTTCTGCGATACAGAGACAATATTTTGGTTCTTGCTTTTATGGCGATCTTATCCAGGGTTTGTCTTGTCAGTCTCTGTCAGCCAGCCCAGGTTTAGAGAGCCTTTCATTGATCGGCTATTGAAATTTTAGTCAACTTATCGTCTTTGCTGTCACGGTCAGTAACTCTGATTTGGAGTCTTAATCAGTGAGATGGTATTTACTGCCGGTCCTACTTAAAGTCTACTGCGATTAACCCATTGTCTAGAGACTAA